CCATTTCTTGAGTATTTGGGATTTTTAGGGGACACAAATCTGGTAGGAGGAAAGGTTTTGGGGCTGTTTCTTGAGGGTTTGGGTTTTTTAGGGGCACAAATCTGCAAGGAGAGACAGTTTTGGGGCTGTTTCTTGTGGATTTGGCTTCCTTGGGGACACATATCTGCGAGGAGAGAAGGTTTTGGGGCCATTTCTTGAGTATTTGGGGTGTTTAGGGGCACAAATTTGCGAGGAGAGAAGGTTTTAGGGCCGTTTCTTGACGGTTTGGGATTTTTAGGGGCAGAAATCTGCAAGGAGGGAAGGTTTTGGGGCTGTTTCTTGAGGATTTGGGATTTTTAGGGGCACAAATCTATGAGGAGAGAAGGTTTTGGGGCTGTTTGTTGAGGTTTTGGGGCCGTTTCTTGAGGATTTGGGTTCTTTGGGGGCACAAATCTATGAGGAGAGAAGGTTTTGGGGCTGTTTGTTGAGGTTTTGGGGCCGTTTCTTGAGGATTTGGGTTCTTTGGGGTCACAAATCTGCGAGGAGAGAAGGTATTGGGGCCATTTCTTGAGTATTTGGGGTGTTTAGGGGCACAAATCTGTGAGGAGAGAAGGTTTTAGGGCCGTTTCTTGAGGGTTTGGGGTGTTTAGGGGCACAAATCTGTGAGGAGGGAAGGTTTTGGGGCTGTTTCTTGAGGATTTGGGATTTTTAGGGGCACAAATCTGTGAGGAGGGAAGATTTTTGAGGCCATTTCTTGATGATTTGGGGTCTTGGAGGCCCTCTACTACACAACACCCAACCCCATCACCCCTTAACCACCCCTTTTCCTCTCTTATCTTGAATTTTTAGAACGAAAAATGGTGAAACTTTTCATCGGGAACCTCCCCAGGGAGGCGACAGAACAAGAAATCCGTTCCCTTTTCGAACAATACGGGAAAGTTTTGGAATGTGACATCATCAAGAATTACGGTTTCGTTCATATCGAAGATAAAACAGCTGCCGAAGACGCTATCCGGAATCTTCACCATCATAAACTTCACGGGGTTTGTATCAACGTAGAAGCTAGTAAAAATAAAAGTAAAGCTTCTACTAAACTCCACGTGGGGAACATCAGCCCAGCTTGTACCAATTTGGAGCTCAGAGCTAAATTTGAAGAGTACGGCCCCGTTATCGAGTGCGACATCGTCAAGGATTACGCCTTCGTCCACATGGAACGCGCCGAAGACGCCGTCGAAGCCATCAGGGGGTTGGATAATACGGAGTTTCAAGGTGATTTCGTGGCACTGGGGAATTTAGGGATGGAGTTTTTGAGGTGGTTTCGGTGAGGATTGGTTATTTGGTGTGGGGTTTTGAGAGTGGGTTTTTGATTGGGGGGGGGGTTGGAGTTATTTGCAGAGCTGGTTGTAATGTGGTTGGCGGTGACGCCGGCGCTTTGGGTTTGTCACCTCGCTGGGATTAAAG